TCGAAAAACAAAGCATTGTGGAATTTATTAAAAGAAACTAAAAAAAAACAACAACAACAAAAAAAAAAACAAAAACAAAAACAAAAAAAAAACAAAACAAAAAAACAACAACAACTAATTAAAGAAAAAAACTGATTTTCAAGATAGTGTTTTCTTAGAAGGTCTCATATCACTCCAATTTTTTTACTGTGTGGACATACTAACCGGGAACACTTGAATAAAACTGACCAATCAGATAACAGTAAATCAGACAGAGATTGAGCTGATAACAGCGTTAGCCAATCAGATTATCACGTTCTCATGCTCTTATTATATCGAGGCGCTATCTGATTGGCTGGTTACAAATATTGAACTAGATGTCGCGATAGGATTGGTTATTTATACTAGTTTATCGATAAATGTTCCCGGTTGGAGTATCCGCACAGTAACAAGTAAGAGCAGCTGTCAAGACTGTTACCCACTAAGAACGTCCGACAACCCAATTTGACCACAGGGGCCCCAGTATCAAGATTGTAAAACTAAGGCGGAATTTCAAAATTTTTATCAAATCAAATTTAACGATCATTTCAGATATCCTGGTATGATGGGAATGGTTCATCCGTTTATAGCTCAACAAGTAAGTATATGTTAGGATAGTATAGTTAGTCAATGAATCGTATTTTCTAAAGGACAAAAATCCATCTCTCCTGTCAGTTATGGTTTTACATTTACACTTTTTTTCTTGAGGTGGGGTACACACCCAAAGTAGGCGACGTAGGATATCCTAAGATTCAGACTTGACTGGGGGGCTTTTCGTAGTAATAGTACTTCATGTATGGTACAAAGGCGTGTATCATCAATTACATTTATTGGTAGGAACAACACATACCATTATATACGAAGTTCGGACCTTCCGGCAATAATGAGAAGCTTTTAGTAGAAATGCTAGTCAGTTCACCTCACAACAACCTTATAATAAACATCACTATATCAATATTTGATTGCTTTTGAGGTTCAATGCAATTTTGATTATTTTATTCGACTGAGCTTAAAACGTGGCCAGGAACGTGGCCAGACTACTTAAACATTGAACAGTATTTTTTTCAAATCCATTTTTGAAAAGGACAAACTAGTTGGTTTTTTTTCCACTGGAAAATGACTAAAATGTGTATGATGATTGACATTCCAAAGCTTATGTTCTGGCCTCATACCTTGCCAAATTTCTAAAATTTGGACAAGTGTGCAGGTCTTAGTTTTATTTCAATAGCTAAAAGGGGGAATTGATTATCTGAACCGTTACTTTTTTGTGCGCTCTGCATTTGCTTTGGCTTCTAAGCAGTCCCTGGTCTCGTTTACTAAAATGTTTATATTGGTATCTTTTTTCTGCCAGATGTATGGTATGCCTGTGCAAGGCAATCCCTATTACTCTCAGCCACTGTTTCAGCAACCAGTACCAGAACAACAGCAGCAGCAGCAGCAGCAACAACAACAAAGACGAAGGCCTAACGCTGCTATCACAATAAAAGCACCTTCTGTGAGTACGGATTGTTGTCAGATYGAATATAGACATCTTAGTACCTTAGGCGTGAAGTTTTGCTATTTAAGACCACGTGCCATTCTCTGGAAAATAAGATGTTGTGTTCGATTTGTACCCATATTAACTGGGGTTTTCGATATTCTGCGAATTCAGGCATTTCAACAGCTTGTTGTTAATTGTTTTTTACTGCCACCAGTCAAGAACATGAAAGGTACCGACTGATTATTTTTGATTGACGGCAGCGAAAAACCAAATTTCAGCGTGCAGCTCGCAACTACCGGGTTCGTAGAATACTATCGAAAACCGCAGTAATGTGTTTTCTCGTGCGCAACCGTTTAACAAAGAAATAGATTCCCTTTCCTTTCTACTTCCGTCTGTTATTTTAGATTAAAATAAGAGAAGCACGGAGGCGTGCGGTGCTTTGTCTCTCAATACTGCGGTCATAGGTTTATCCCTAGACCATCATGTGTTATAATTTTTTCCATTGATGTCTTCTGTAGAACTAATTTTTTTGTTTTCATTTCCAGGAAGCCTAACTCGCCTCAACTTGTCGTATAGTCTCATGTACATGTATACCTACTGCAAGCCGAGTTTAGTATATATGTGGCTGTTGCCTTTTGGGTCAGTGACTGATGGTCTACCGAGCGTGAAGGGTCGACAGTCGTATTTTAGTGTATGCACATTGTTGATAAAAAGGTCATAATATGATATAAGAATGGGTTGGAAAACACGGCGATGCATGTTTTTTATTCTACTAAATGAGTATTACATTAGGTTTGCCAGTGCCTCAGAAAAATGCCCAGGAAGTATTCTTGGGGTGCAACCATTCAAAATCCCCACGATGAAACAGCCGCCATGTCGGTGAACCTAAAAAGAAAAGTCAATGGGGAATGCTTTGTTATCGTCTACCAACATGGCGGCTTTGACGTAACACACACCCCAAGCCGTTATATATTAACTGAGTTCCAAACTTTTAAGTCTAAACAAGAACAGATCAGTTACATCTGAAGAATGCAAATTATTTTATCAAAATCTAAATAGCTGTATAGGACTTTTATGACGTAACAAGTGAATATGAAGGAACTACTCTAACACCGTATAAAAAAGCTAATTATACTAGTATGCTATCATAGTTTTAACTTGTTTACACAGTATTTAAGTTCCCCTTTTAGGTAATAACCACTAGTGATCTTTTTACAATGTATATACTACAAACTCTATGAAAATGTGTTTAGAGATTTGAACAATTTTCATTTAAAATATTTCTTTTACAAAATGATGATCTTACAGTTTCTTATTCTTGCACTTTTTGATCAAAAATATCACATTTTACACGGCGATAATAAGCGTCTAATGTCTAGAGGCAATTATATAATAGTTATAGAATACTGACAAATATTTTCAAACTTTTTATGTCGGTCCGGTGTTTATTTTTGTTTTGTTTCGTGTTTGGTTTTCACATTTCTGTTCGTGAGTAGGAAGCGTTTTCACTTTAGTCATTATTAATAAGAAATAAACAAAAGAAATCGGGCTTAACCGCTTAATCTTTTTCTACGTTTTGAAATTATTTGTACATTTGTCTAATAAAACGACAAAAGTGAAGCAAGAAAATTATATTATATGTTTATGTGTGTGCGTGCTGCTTTCATATTTGCTAGGAATTATTATATTAGCGTAAAGGTTGTGTGGGATGGGTCTAGGATAGGTTCAGACTTGATGGCCTCAAGTTCAGTTCCCATCGTAACTGAAATGTTTTCCGCTTTCAAGATCTTGACTAAGTGGTGACACCAATGCACTATCTAGAGGATGCCATGTGGAACAGCCTGGAGGATCTGACACGTTACGCTTAAGAGCACGTTGCGGAATGTCCTCTAGCTTTCTTAACATCCCTACATTCTGGAAAAATCCACTTCCATCGCCGCCATAGATGGTAGGCGAAGTGCTGTCCGTATTAGCGAGATCTGAAAAACTGCATGGGGCCTTTAGGGATACTGGTGTGTGACAAGGTGTACAAGGTGCAGAGTTTGATAGATAAAAAGAAAAAGGTGAAAGATTCTCGTCATTTGATGGTTGCCATATAGAAGGACGAGGACTAGTGGGCGAGCATGGGATATGAAATAATGGCGAGGAGTGTCTTCGATTCCAGTACGACTCTAGGTCCCTAAACTTTTGAAATAACTCATCGTCAGCTTCATCTTCAGGATTATCAGGAAGGCTATTAGTTCTGCTTTTGGTTTTCTTGAATGAACCATTATCCAAGTCGACATTAACTGGATTGGGGTGAAAGAGAAATTCTAAAGTTTTCACCCCTCCATTCTGTGAACCCCACGTACATTCGGTGATCCTCATATGCTTACACCCTTTGGGGGAACAGAATGTAACTTCACCAGTATCTACTCCGGGGATATCCAGTACTGGTAAATAGCCAATGAAGTCTAACTTGTAAAACGATTTTCTACTGTAGGTGCCTTGTCTGCCCAACTTCTGACGTTGGATCCTTTTGTCCTCTCGTGGTTTTCGTACCCTGTTTCTGTACTCTTGATTCAAGTCATTAGTGGGTTCTTGATATGATACTGGGTTTTTGATAGCTAATGATAAAGATGCCGCATTCGTTAAGGCCTGACGTCTCAGGGAAGGCATGACCCCTCCTACCTTGCCGTGGTAATCCATAGAGTTATAGCTACCTCGGGAAGGATAGTTTGGCTTTCCTCCAAAGCTTTTACTCCGGGTAACTGGCATGTGATTGCGTCTTGATGAAAAAGCACTAGAAGAGCTCGTGGTTTTGTGCAACTTTTCTTTCCGATACGATTGTTCAACTTTTCCTTCTATCACATTTCGATTCTTCGTTGTCTTGGCAAAGGCCGGCCTGCGGTGGTCTCGAAAATGAAATTGCTTAGGCGAAACTGGCGTTGATCTTTCGTTGAAAATGTCCCCTGTCTTCGTTTCTTCATAATGAAAATTTTCCACATCTCTACTATTCCTTCTCTTTGGAAAAGAAAAAACATCTTTATCAGAAAAACTTCTAGGCCTAAATCCACGATTCACGATTTGAAATTCTTCCTTATGTCTGGTCACAAAATCAGGGCCTGGCAAGATTTCGAAAGAGGAATTCAATTGCTGGTATGCCTTTCTATTGCCCTTGTCTTTGAATGCTTTCACAGACGGCGAAAACTCGGGCAAGTGACTAGTAAAAGATGTTTGGTCTGGAAATTCAGATAAGTCATGTATCTTCAAATAGCTGGCACTCTCGCTCATTTCTTCTATGGCGTCGCCATAACTGGACCATGTGCCATCGGCTCCACTTTGGTTTGTTCCCCTGTCAAGCGCTTTTTCAGGTTGTTCAAATGGTTCGTTGCTTGATCTTTTAGTGCTCATTTCCTTAGGGACATCTTGAAACTCCATTGGTAAAAAAGGTAGTTGAATTCGAAGAGGAGTTTCAAAGCATGGGCGATATGGGTTGGATGAATAGGAAGGTGTAGGGTTAGCTTAGGCTTGCTCACCTTTTCAAATACTGCTTTGGCTTGCTCACCTTTTCAATTTCTGCCAAATGTTTTTACCTCGACTGGTCTGCCATCAATGAATAAACCTAGCCTTAGTAGCAAGGCACTTCTTCTTCATTTATACACTAGAAATACTTATAATTGCATTGCCGCTGATGAATTGTACGTTTTTGTGTGACCAGTATGCTCGATCTCTTTTTATACATTGTCTGATGTACATGTCAAGCGCACTCTCCAAACTTTGAACCGTCCGCTAAATTAAAACCATCCCTAATAAGGAAATAGCATGACGTCAAAAGTCCAAAAGGTGCGAAGCGGTGCTCAAAATCCAATCATGTTCAGCCCCACCTATCTTTTACTCGAGCCTCCACTAATTAGTAGGTCCCAAAAAGGGGCTCATGACGTAAAGAATGAGGTCGAAATGTGGATCCTATATATCCTGATCAAAATTTGTCTCAGTTCCGTAAGCGTCTTTAGACCGGCCCTTCAATTAGCAAAATTAAAAGGGTGTGGCATGCTTTTACTTAAGTCCCTTCCGCACAAATTTTAGAAATAAAACAAGGTGGCATTGACGTAAAGTCGGACGCCTCTGCGGACGGCCACTCCTTATTGCCTTTATCCACTTCTTTCGAGGCGATATCTCAACACTGATATGTCCATCAAACTTTCAATTAAGAAAGTCACATGACGTCAAATAGAGGGGTCGTGGTTTAGAGGGGTTCGTACCTAGAATAGCCGGTTCCGATTTCTTTTGAAGCGACATTGATATGTCCATCAATTTACCTGAAATAGCTTGATCCGTAAACCTTTGAAACTATTATGCAAAACACTGCTGCAATGTAAGTTTATTCTCAAAGGAATAAGAACCTATGTGTAAATGTATTGTCAAGCACTTGAATGCGAAGCCACGCGCGGTGGAATCGTCGTTATGTTCAAACCAACATGGCTGCCACGCAAAAAAGGCCCATGGATACTAGAATACATGTAATAGGACATGAAGAACATAGCATGATTCGACAGCATATCTAAGTGCTGTGAAATGGCGGGAAGGGGTTTGAGGAAGGGTTGTCAAATGAAATAAATGCTCTAATGCATACATCCATACTTGAGACATACCAGATTTATTGGAATATTGAAAGACAACAACACGAAATACTTCTTACTCGTTATCATTTTTCTTTTAATACATGGCATGCCAAACAACATTCGCTTCATCGATCAGTATAACACCTCTGCATTCACAAATTAACCATGTTACATTACCACCGATTACACTACCTTAGCTATACCATTAAATTTGTTGACTATAAGGCCTTAGCTTGGTTTAAAGTTCCTCGTTACAACAAGAGTGTCCGACTGAATGCAAATCCCAGGAATTCTTTACAGTATACAGGTTGATTAAACATCATTACAAGTAGATTATATATATATAGTTGTGTATTTTGGGTATGAGGTTTTAGTGAGTACACCAGAGGGCTTGTCAATTTCCTTGGTACTAATAGTCTCTGGAAGCCTCCTTAGAGAATCTGTAGATCAAAAATACGGCGAAAAAGCTGTTAGAACGTTTTTCGGGAGAGTGAGATGTGAGATGACCAACATAGCAACAGACGTCTTCATCTTCTGTACCTTGGACGTAATTTTTCCCCATTTGAGACAACATGCCATTCTCTTAAGGAAAACATTATTTGTTTGAGTTGTATCCATATCCATGTGTCTGATCATGCGCAACCATAAAACAAAGAAATGCATGGTACTCTAAGGAATGACACGTGGTTTGAAATGGGAATTACGCCCAAGGTAAAAAGGTCAAGCCTACTCATAGTATACTGAAATATTTAAACATTGATTTCTCTAATTCTAAGATCTACTAAGACCGAAATGTTACCATAAAAACGTCGAAAGTCTTCATAATAACCTTTCATAGAACAACTTTCTATGTATTGGAATACATTACGGAAAAGATTTTCCATTTTACTGTCCTTGTCATACACCTTTTCTGAGATAGTAAACATGATAGTGACGTGCAACTCGATCCAGTTTTTTCCTCAACCACGGAATGGCTAATTGCATTTTGGGGGCTGTTTTAAGAGACTTTACGAGATGGCTTGTATTTCGTTCCCACAATGCACTGCAATGCCAATTCGACCCAGTTTTATTTTGCCCAAACCCCGGAATCTGGCTAATTGGTACTTACACTTTAGCCTTATTGCTTCTTTTCTTCCTCAGAGATCTTTTGCCGAATGCACCACTTAACCAAGGTGGGAACGTAGGTTGTGGCCGAGAGGTCGGTAATGTGATGATTTCCCATGGGGAAGTAGTGGGGGCTTTTGGTCCTTTGAGATAAAAACAGCAGAATCATGTAAGCAATGCATTTATAATCAACTTAGTTGACTAGTTCCGAAGTTCAAGAATGGTAATGAATTGTTAAAGGCTTCATTTTACTACCACTATAGTCAAGATGCTATGTGATATTTTGGGTCTTACTTGGTGTTGCAGGATGTATTGTATTCTGGATTTAGGGTTGTATTGCAGGGTATCGTTTAGCTCCAAACTCATTGTTCTCGGCTATTGTTTTATTGTCTTCATGGCTCAGGTGCCCTGCAACACCAAGAAAGAGCCGATGTTTTTCCCTCAAGAGAAGGTTGAGGCAATCGGTGGTAATTATATACTAAACAAAAAAAGCGTACACAGCATTCTGGAATTGGTAGTAAGTGCCTCAACCATGATCTATATTGGACTGGATTTGGAAATTCATACCTCGTCCCAAGGAGTTCCACAACCCTTTTTGCAATTAAGCACTCCTTTGAAATACGAAAAAGCAAATACTTGCACCAACTTTCACTACTGTTGCTATATACGTGAAGCAAAGTTGTTTTAATTTGTTCGTTTTTGCTTCATATTCGATGTTCTGGTTGGATCAATAGTCCTTCACTATGCTGCCTGCTTTGGAGGGAGCGTCCCCCTTTTTTGTGCTCTTAGACTCGGTAAGGAGAATAGAACCCATTGTGTATATGTGATTGATTCAACTTACTGCAACGAGGGCAGCACTTTCCTGGAATGTACTCTGGGTAAGGACAATTCGCTGAGCAAGCCGTCTTTTCACAGAAAGCTTCGCCGTTGATACATCGGCATTGGCTGCACGAACTTGGATCTCTTCTGTCATCCCACTCTTCTCCATTCATTTTGTCTTTACCCAGGTGATGGCAGGCTTTATGGAAATAATAATGATAATAAAACTATAATAAAATAAAAGTTTCATAATCTTGTAAAGCGTTCAAAACTACATACACTGGCCAAATTTCAAGGTTGTCAAATTCCAAACTTCAATTTTCAGCAGTACTTACCACATTTACTACAGCAGGAATTTTTACGTAGAGGCGTATACTTTTCACACTTAAACGAATAATCACAGACTATAGTCTTGCATTCGGTTTGTCCCTCCTTGCATTTACATGCATGACATTGTGTTGGACCTTGTGGGATGAATTGAGTACGGCCATTGATATACATTGAGTCGTTAACATTACAGTTTTCTGAAAGGAAACAATCAAGTGAGTCGGAGACGTACGGGTAACCCGAATATGTTTTCTTTTAGATTTCAACACATATCCAATCAAAGTTCCTAGGCTCGATCGATATGGGGTATTTGATATTCATTAGATGTACTTACGTATTGCAATCTTGTAGACAGCGTTGAGCATTGGGCCAGCAACATGCGAGATACATTTCGATGAGTGAGTAAATTTTTTGTAACGCTCTGGATCAGAATCGATTCTACACTCGCCCCAGTTTTGCACGGAGAAGACAGCGTCGTTTTTTCCAGACTCGAGTAGTTTACTGGCACAAATTCTTACGATATAGCTCAAATCCCGCCATCTTGTCCAGTCGATGCGTGGTCTGGCGTCGTAGAGGACTTTACGAAAGGCGCGGTTGTTCCATCCATCGTCTTGGTAACAGCCAAGGTATTTGAGATCTTCAGGCCTGACATCTAGATGACAATCGTAAAATGATCTTAAAACGCAAGTATTTATTGCATGTCCTCAACCAATCAGCGTAGTCGTTATATCGTTTTTTCGAAAAGGAGAAATATACGTATTTTATGGATAATTATATGATAAATAACTTTATTTAAGTGTCGATGTATTTATTTTATGCAACTAATTGGGGACACTAAAATTAAACTGAGATGCCGCAGAAATAATCAAAAAAACATAAAGTGCATGCGCAGGAACGTTGCAGTTTTCAACATGGCTCGCTTCCCTGTGACTTGGTATGTTTGATGGACGACAAAAACAACCAAAGCACACAAAAAGACGGG